GAGAGAGAGAGAGAGAGAGAGAGAGAGAGAGAGAGAGAGAGAGAGAGACTAGACCTGGCTTGACATTTTGAAAACCAAAGCCTAACCTCTGACTAATGCCGTCAAACAAAGCCACATTACTCTAACAAGGCCACACCTCCTATACCCTTGTCAAGTAGTGCTATTCCTTGATGATCAAGATTTCAATACATGAGCCTAGGGGAGGGGCTTTCAGATTTAAATCACAACAGTCCACTTCCAGGTCCCCATAGGCCTGTAGCAATATCATAAGGCAAAAGTGCATTCAGCCCAACCTTAAAATTCTCCATAGTCTAATAGCATATAATAATCTCAGCACATTATAAACTTCAAATTCTAAATCTCCTCTGAGACCCATGTAATCCCTAAGTTGTAACCCCTTGTAAAATTAAAATAAAAAAGCAAAGAAATAACATTCTTCCCCCACACCATGACACAGGGTCAGCCCATGAACAAAGCAGCCATGGTGCCAGAGATGGAGGTTATGGATTGGCTTGACACTATGGACTTCCACTCACCAAAGCTGACCTGGTTACAGCTGCTGCTGAAAGCCAGATCTGCCAACAGCAGAGACCAACACTGAATCCCAGATAATGCACCATTACTCAAGGCGACCAGCCAACAACCTGGTGGCAGGTTGACTATATTGGACCAGGTCCTTCATGGAAAGGACAACACTTGGTACTTACTGGAGTAGATTCTTATTCTGACTATGGATTTGTCTTTCCTGAACGTGATGCTTCTGCTGAAACCACCATCAGTGAACTTACAGAATGTCTTATCCACCATCATGCTATTCCACACAGAGTTCCATGTGGTATTCTGACCAAGGAACTCACTTCACAGCAGAAGTGTGACAGTGGGCCTATGGTCATGGAGTCCTCTAGTCTTACCATGGTCTCCACCAACCTGAGGCAAATGGCTTCATAGAAAGATGAAGTGACTATCTGAAGACACAATTACACTGCTAATTAGGTGATAGCAGCCTGCAGGGCTGAGTCATGAATAGTGGGACTTTCTTGGACCTGCCAGTGGATGAATAAATATAGAGAGACATTATTATTATTGTTTATAAAAGCTTAGATGCTTAACTTGGCCGACTTTCAGCTGTTCTAACGTGACAAATACTGGCCTATGTCCCCCCACGTGACCTGTTCTTTACCTCTCTCTCTCTCACACACACACAGACCTGGTACATGTCCTTCACCATGTCAAGCTGTTGAATCCTCTTGCCTCTGATCCTTCTCCCAGAGAACCTCTCTCAGCCCTGAAGTCCCACCCTTACTCTCCTGTCTAGACATAGCCATCAGGCTAAGCAAGGGATGGCAGTGTTAGGAGGGGTGAGTGATGTAGATCACCAAGGTGAAATCAGATTGCCTCTCCACAATGGGGGTAAGAAGGATCATGTCTGGAGTGCAGGAGATCCTTTAGGGCCTCTCTTAGTACTAGCATGTC